ATGTAGTACCTGGCGTCTAGTATGTGCTACATCCATGTTGGCTGTTATTATTAGCTGTTAGTATTTATTGACTCTCGTTCTGTGCCAGGCATTGTGTCAAGTGTCGTAAGATCCATGCACTCATTTAATCCTGACAACCATGCCATGAGATAACTCCATATGGTAGATGAGGAAACTGAGGCACAGAAAGGCTAAGTCACCTGCTGATGGTCCCCCAGCTGGTAAGTCATGGAGTTGGGCCGTGAACCCAGGCTGTCTGGATTCAGAGCCTGCCCTGTACCCATCAAGCCACCCTGCCTCAAATGCTCCTACTCTCTGGAAGAATTTCTCCTTCGCTTGTCCAAGACCAGAGAGAGTCCCAGCAGGGGCAAGAACAGGGCTGTTAGCTGAATTCACTGGGGGGAAATCCAGGGTGAGAAAGATGTTCTTACCCTACAGTGAGATAGATGCCCAGGGCATCAATTTGGGTGTCCTTGGTTATTTCCTGTTCCCACCTCCTAAAACTTATCCCTTGGATACCTGCCACAGGGGAACAAGGACGCAGAGAGGCCCACGAGAGGAGAGGCCCACGAGACGAGTGGCCTGGGCCCTGCTGTGTGTTTGCTGCCAGCAGGAGTTCTGGGTTCCCTGTGAATGTCCAGGGCCAGAGACAGCGGTTTTGTCTGTGTGACTGAGCTGTCTTCGATGTCTGTTTGTCTGTGGTGAGGCCACATGGGGGTGCACACCCACCTCGCCACCCACTAGATCTGTGATCCTGGGCAAGTGACTCACCTCTTTGTGCCTCAGTTTCTTCATGTGTTTAAATGAGGATGATGAAGATGACAGGAGAGTGATCTGAAGATTAAATGAGGTCCTCCACGGGCCCTTGTGTGAGTGGCTCCCACATGCAGCTTATGTGCATTAGACATGATTACACATGTGCAGTGCGGATCTCTGTATGTTACTGCAAGGGCCCCTGCAGTGTAAGACGGAGCGGGTGTGAGTGCCTGGGGGAACGCACGCTCCATGGTTTGTGGGAGGAGAGTGTGCTTGTGTGTTGCTTGTGTATACAGCAGACGCATGTGCCTTCTGCAATGTGTGAAGTGTTTACTGCCAGGACCCGTTTTCACACAACAGGCTCATGCCGTAGAACGTGTTGTCAAGGTTCACATGTGCCTCAGTATCTTCATCTGTACAATGGTGGTGTTAGGAGAGCCATAAGCCCCAGTGGACAGCAGGTGTGAGGTTCTAACCCAGTGCGAATGCTGGTTGTGTGGGAGCGGCTTGTGTTATGTCCTGAAAGAGTTGGTCTTGACTGTGGACACCCCAGGGCTCTTGAAGGCCAATGCTGCTGTGTCTGCCTCCCCTGGCCAGGAAGCTTGTCCTGCTGTGGTGAGTCAGAAGAGCCCTTAGTTCAGTTTCTCCAATGGGGCATCCAAGGCCCAGAGAAGGATAGGGACTTACCTCAGGACACCCAGCATACTGGAGGCAGAGATGGGGCCAGATCGAGCCAGTCTCTCGTCCCCCTGCAGGGGCCCGGGTGGCAGCCCCACCCCCAATCCCCCACCCTGCCCATCTTTCCCTGGCACCCCACAGCCAAGTGGGGCTGGGGAGGCCGCACCGACAGGAGGGTGTGTGGCTTGGCAGCCCACACTGTCTGGTCCGCCGAGGTTGAGGCTGGGCGGATACCTGTGGTGGGAATTCCTCGTGTCTGAGGAGGACCTGACTTGAGGAGCCCAGTCCCCGCCCAGCCCTGTCGCCAGCTGGTCCAGGACACAGCCTGCCACTTCGAGACTGGGCGCAGCCTGCAGATTCTGAGAGACCACTGAAGAGGAGTCCGAGGACCTCAAGTGTTTCACCTTGTCTTTATTACATAACATCTTTCTTGTTGCAAGTCTGCCACTCTTGTTAAAAAGTAAGCCTTGGTATTTGTGGGGGATTACAAGTAATCAAAGAGGACAAAATTGAACTCTTCTTTTTCTTTTTCTTTTTGACACAGAATCTCACTCTGTTGCCCAGGCTAGAGTGCAGTGGTACACTGCTCATGGCCACGGCGGTCTTGACCTGCTGGGCTCAGGCGATCCTTCCGCCTCAGTCTTCCAAGTAGCTGGAACTACAGGCGTGTGCCACCATATCCAACTAATTTTTTGATTTATTGTAGAGACGAGGTCTCGCCAAGTTGCTCAGGCTGGTCTCGAACCCATGGGCTCAGGCAATCCTCTAGCCTCGGCCTCCCAAAGTGCCGGGATTGCAGGCATGAGCCACTGCGCCTGGCCTGAACTCTTTCTTAACCCAGAAGTTCAGCAGAAACCAATGGGACTTTAACAACACTTATGCACACATGTCTGGACACCTGCATACTCATACATGCACCTGGACATATGTATGCGACATGCAGGCACTCAGCACACATATGCATGAAGTATACCCACACATATAACACACATGTGCACACATATATGCACAAGGGCACACAAACACACTCACACACTTATGGGACACATACTGTGTGCCAGCCACTGTTCTAAGCAAATTTCACTCATTTCATCTTCACAACAATGCTGTGAGGTGGGTACCATTATTTCACTCCTTGTACAGATGAGACACAAAATGGTGACATAAGCTGGGCACAATGGCTCGCCCCTATAATCCCAGCATTTTGGGAGGCTGAGGCGAGGGGATTGCCTGAGCCCAGGAGTTTGAGGTCCTCACCTCTACAAAAATTTTTTAAAAATTAGCGGGCAGCCGGGCTCAGTGGCTCAGCCTGTAATCCCACGCTTTGGAAGGCTGAGGTGAGTGGATTGCCTGAGCCCGCGGGTTGGAGACTTACCTGGGCAACTTTGTGAGACCTCATCTCTACAATAAATTTTTTTTAAAAATTAGCCGGGCATGGTAGTGCTCGCCTGTAGTTCCAGCTACTTGGAAGCCTGAGGCGGAAGGATCGCCGGAGCCCAGCAGGTCAAGGCTGCAGTGGTTGGGAGCAGCCACTACACTCCAGTCTGGGCAACAGAGTGAGACTCCAACTCAAAAAAAAAAAAAATTAGCCGGGCATAGTGGTATATGCTTGCATTCCCAAGTTGAGGCAAAAGGATTGCCTGAGCCCCGCAGGTTGAGGCTACAATAGCCATGATCACACCATTGTACTCCAGCCTAGGCAACAGAGTGGGACTCCAACAAACAAAACAAAAAATAGCCGAGCATGGCGGCTCATGCCTGTAATCTCAGCACTTTTGGGAGGTAAGAGGATTACCTGAGTCCTGGGGTTCAAGACCTGCCTGGGAAACTGGTGAGACCTCATCTCTACAATAAATCAAATCAAAAAATTAGCCGGGTGTGATAGCACGTATAGTTCCAGCTACTTGGAAGACTGAGGTGGAAGGATCGTCTGAGCCCAGCAAGTCGAGGCTGCAGTTGGCCATGAGCATGCCACTGCACTTCAGCCTGGGCGACAGAGTGAGACTCCAACTCAAAAAATAAAAAAAGAAAGAAAAATGAAAAATGGCATATTTTTACACATTAACAGGGTCCTGGAGTCAGACTTGGATTTGAATCTTGGCTTGTTACATACTGCCTGGCTTTACTTTGAGCTTGTTCCTTCACTTCTCTGGGGCTCAGTTTATCTATAAAATGAGAAGCTATAGTCCCCGCTTCTGAGGATTGCTGAGCTTGTGTGTAAAGCACTCAGCCCTGAGCCTGGCACATAGTAGGAGGTGGTAGCTGGTGGCCAAGGAGGCAGGGACCTCTCAGACATCCTGGCCCACCTTGGGCCACATTAACTGCACCTACTCCAAGGCTGGAGGGCTTTATATATAGGGAAAACAGTCAAAACATGTCTCTGGATGCAAGGTGGCCTGGATATGTTGGGGTGTGGAAAGCAGAGAGGAATCTCCGGGTCTGGGGTCTCCCCAAGAGGATGGGTATTTTTCCTAAATCCCTGCAGTTGCCACAAGCCTCCTCTGACCAGCGGCTCAGCCCAGTATCCAGGTGGGAACAGGAACTGACAGCGGAGAGGGGGTGGAGAGGAAAACCCAGAAATTAGCGGGCGGAGCCAAGTCTGGCCCAGTTGGAAGAGGAGGGGGCTGTGAGGTCAGGGCCATCAGATGCCATCAGCTCCCGGCGGGGGACTGTTAAAGTCGCTGCGCTGCCAGGCGGGCCAGGGTGTCTGCAGAGGTCCCCTCCTTGGTCGCCAGTTACCACCTCCTGGGCTGTCTGCCCAGGTACGCGCCCCCGGGAGCCTGCTACTCACCCTCCTCACCGCCCTCTACCTCTCTCCTATTTCTCTCTCCTTCTCTGTTTCATCTTTTTTTCCTTTGGTCCCTGCCTCTCTCTCCCACTTTCTCTTTCTGTCCCTCCCCCCCGCCATCCCTCTCTCTGTGTCTCTGTCTCTCTCTCTTCCCTTCTCTCTTATCTCTCTCCCTCTCTCTCTTTCTCTCTCTGCCTTTCTGTTTCTCGTTCATTCCTTTTCTCTGTATCTCTTTTTTGTTCTGTTGTCTTTTGGTCTCCCTCTTTTCTCAGTCTCTCTCACTCTCTGCCATCGGGTTCTCTCTGTGTCTCATGCTCAATACCCAGGTTGCAGTTGCTCAGGGACAAGAGCGTCCTGCAATTTGCCTTGGGGGAAGGCTGGCCCTGCCCTCCCGAGGGCACTGCCTGCGCCCATTCAAGCGGGCTCCGTGGAGAGGATATCTAGGCTGGAGAGGACGGCTGTCTGTCTCCAGGGCTAGTGGGACAGAGCCCTGGCTTTGAAGTGGTGGCACGATCTCACCCCAGGGCCATGTCTGGATCAGACACTGTCTGGGCATTTTCTCCTGTTGCCCAGTCCACTCAGTCCACTGGGGTGGAAAGGAAGGGCAGCTGGGCAGCTGGACCACAGCTGCGTCAGGAGGTCTTTGCCAAGTTCCCAAGGGTGGCATTCTCTGGGCTGGCAATGCTCGAGAACACTCAGGGTTGGTGCTCTCATGCCTGCCCCTTCCAGGCAGCTGGCTCTGATTGCACGAGGCAGGCGTGTGACCCTCCAGCCAGCTATGCCCCTGCTTCCCGGCACCGTGGGCCTTGCAGGCCTGCTTTTCTGGGTGGGCCAGACAGTGAACGCCTTGATGGTACCCAATGCTACCTTGGCCCTGGCCCAGACTGAGGGCATAGCCGTGCAACCCCTGAGTGGCCTGGGGGTCCCCCAGCGCCTCCGGAAGCGCCACATCTCTGTCCGGGACATGAGTGCCCTGTTGGATTATCACAACCACATCCGGGCCAGCGTGCGCCCACCTGCCGCCAACATGGAATATATGGTGAGTCCCCCGTGCCCCTTCTGGCAAACGCCAGCAGACTCCCCTTGGCCTGGAATGACTGGCTTCAGAGAGCTGGGCCACTTGCCAGCCTGGCCCTACGAGCCATATCTGGGTGTCTGGGATCGGTGCAAAGGGCAGAACATAATGTGCCCATTTTACATATGAGGAAACTAAGGAGATCGTACAGATCTTCCAGTGAGTCAGGGATGTAGGACAACTGTGTATGGCATACCTTGAGTGCCAGGCACTGCACATAATCTTGAGAGCTCCCCTCTTCCTTCAAGGTGGGTATTGTCATTGTCATTTTCCAAATGAAGAAATTGAGACTCAGAGCATTCATTTGCCCAAGGATTCAGAGAATTCATTTGCCAGCCATGTCTCCAACCCAGGTCTGCCTGCGCCTATGGTTGTAATCATAACCAACATAATCCCCTGCCTAAGAATTGTGGCCCCCACTGGAGCCTGCAAGGCTTGGTGGGTGGCTGGCACTTCATATGCTATTGTCTCTTTGCCCTGATGGGTTTTTTTGTTTTGCTTTTTTTTTTTTTTTTTTTGAGTCAGAGTGTCAATCTGTCATCTAGGCTAGAGTGCAGTGGCACGCTCTCGGCTCACTGCAGACCTTCTGGGCTCAGGAGATCCTTCTACCTCAGCCTTCTGAGTACCTGGGATTCCAGGCATGTACCACCACACCAAGTTAATTTTTTTATTTTCTGTAGAGACAGGGTCTTACTCTGTTGCCTAGGCTGGACTTGAAGTCTTGGGCTCAAGTAATCCTAATGCCTCAGCCTCCCAAAGTGCTGAGATGACCACACCTAGCCTATGTTTTATTTTTTCAGAGGTAGGGTCATGACCTCACTATGTTGCTCAGGCTGGTCTCAAACTCTTGGCCTCAAATGACCCTCTTGCCTCAGCCTCCTGAGTAGCTGGAATGGGGGTTCATTGACACTTGGCAAGTGCGTAGAGGCAGGTTTGGAGCAGTGGGGACAGGTGCTCAGAGATCTCAGACTGAGGAGAACCAGCAGCTGACCAGCAGAAAAAGTGGGGACTCCAGTGACTCTCATTCCAGCTTCCTAGAGCCAGACTCTGGTGTGGAGGAGGGGACTTTTCTTTCCATTGTGGCTCCTTCCCCACGATCACTGTCCCCAACCAGCCTGGAGAGATAGACTTCCGGCCCACCCAGAGATTTCTTTAGGAAAAAAGCTCACCAATCCACCCCAGAAAGACCCATCCATGCTACTCTACCACCTGAAAATTCGACTTTTGCAACGTGTCTTGACTTACGCTTCGGGCATGCTTGGGGGCCAGGCACCAGGCTGAGTGCCATAGACACTGCTGAGAACATGGTGGACAAGGCCCCCTCCCCTCATGGAGCTGGCATTTTAGTGGATATGAGAGAAGATAAGCATCAACAAGATATCTACAGTATATTGTCTGGAGGTCCTTAGGCATTGGGGGGGGCAGGAAAAGGAGCCAGGAGGGCAGGCAGCTAGAGGCGGGCATCAGTTATCTGTTTGTTGACTGGCTCATTCATTTACATGTTTTTCAAACAGATGGCTCATTTGAGCATGAGTTGTGTGTGTATGGCACCTATTCCAACCGACATTTAATGAGAGCATGAAACAGAGAGAGCTGATGTCTCACCAGGGACCTAGGGAGGATCTGCAAGTGTGGGTTTGGTGTTTAGTGTGCTCTCTCCTCAGTTTACCCCTTTTGGCATGAGAGAAGCATTCCTCTGCTCTCCCTAAAAGACTTTCAGTCAGACAACCCTGGAGAGATGCCTGGACCCCCCCATTTGGTATGCTTGTTTTATCTTTCTTTGTTTAAAATAGAGATGGGGTTACCCGGGCTGGTCTTGAACTTCTGGCCTCCAGTGATCCTTCCACCTCAGTCTCCTAAAGTGTTGGGATTACAGGCATAAGCCACTGTGCCCAGCCACCATTTCTTCTTCATTAGCTGACTTCTGTCCACAGAACAGGAGTCTGAGTTAACACCCCTCGCTCCAGAAGGCGTTTCCCACAGAACCAAGAAGTTTGGGTCCTGTCTCACACTCTCGCACCCACCAGGACTGTAATGATTAATGACCTTTTTAACATCACCTTTCCTTACTGGACTGAATCCTTGGTGTCCAGAGATATGATTGTTCAATAGTGGTTGAATGAACACATATCTCAGAGAGCCAGGCACAATGGCTCACACCTATAATCCCAGCCCTTTGGGAGGCTGAGGTGGGAAGATTGCTTGAGCCCAGGAATTTGAGACCAGCCTGGACAGCATAGAAAGACCTCATCTCTACCAAAAAAAAAAAATTTAAAAATGAGCCAGGCAGGATGGCACATGCCTGTAGTCCCAGTTGCTTGGAGACAGGTGGAAGGATCCCTGACCCTAGGAGGTTGAGGTTGCAGTGATCTGTGAGCATGCCACTGCACTTTAGCTTGGGAAACAGAGTTAAATCCCTGACTTTTAAACACACACACACACACACACACACACACACACACACACACACACACACACACACACACATCAGAGAATTCTAGGAAGTCTGAGCTGACACCGAGCTGGAATTTTAATAAGTGATACATTTTCTGGTTATAAAACCTGGGGAATCCATACATTGGAAAATCATGAAGCTGTTGGGAAGGATGAGTTGGGTATTCACCATGTGCTGATGTGGAATGATCCCTCAGATAGAAGAAAAGAGCAAGACGCAGGATAGGATGCTGCCACTTGTCAAAAACACATCTCTATGTCTACACAGCTATATGTCTACACAGCCATATGTCTACACATCTGTATGTCTATACAGTTGTATGTCCACACATCTCTATGTCTACACATCTGTATGTCTACACGTCTGTATGTCTACACATTCGTCTGCTTGGACAGGTGTAGAATATTTCCAGAGGTGAACACAGGAAACAGTGGCAATTGCCTTAGGGGCCAGGTGAGCAGTGACAGAGGGGGACGGGTGTAGGAAACAGATGAGAGACTCTCCACTTTTTCTCCCCGAATATCTTATATAAAATTTGTGCATGTTTTTACTATTCTAAAAAAAGCTTTTGAATGAAAAAAATTTGATGTTAAAATAAGCATAGCTAGAAAATAAAATACAATTTGTTGATTTAATTTTTTTTTTTTTAGTTGGAGTCTTCCTCTGTAGCTCAGGCTGGAGAGCAGTGGCACACTCACGGCCACCACAGCCTCAACCTGCTGGGCTCAGGCGATCCTTCCTGCCTCAGCCTTCCAAGTAGCTGGAACTACAGGTGCACACTATCATGCCCAACTTATTTTTTGATTTATTGTAGAGAAGTCTCACCAACTTGCCCAGGCTGGTCTCAAACTCCCGGGCTTAGGCAATCCTCTCACCTTGGCCTCTCAAAGTGCTGGAATTACAGGCTGAGCCACTGTGCCCAGCCTAATTTTTAAATTTATTATAAAGACGAGGACTTGCCAAGTCACCCAGGCTTGTCTTGAACCCCTGAGCTCAGGTAATCCTCTCGCCTCCACCTCCCAAAGTTCTGGGATTACAGGAGTGAGACACCGTGCCTGGCTATTTATTTATTTAATTTTTAGAGGCAGGGTCTCACTCTGTCACCAGGCTGGAGTACAGTGGTACCATCATCATAGCTCACTGCAGCCTCAAACTCCTGGGCTCAAGTGATCCTCCCAGCTCACACCCTAGTTCCTGAGATTACAAGCATGAGTCACTGCACTGAATTTACAATTTAAAAATCAGTAATTTGGCCAGACTCAGTTTGTAATCCCAGCACTTTGGGAGGCCGAGGCAAATGGATTGCCTGAGCCCATGGGTTTGAGATCAGCCCGGACAACTTGGCGAGACCTCGTCTCTAAAATAAACCAAAAAAATTAGCTGGGTGTGGTAGCACGTGTCTGTAGTTCTGGCAATTTGGAAGACTGAGGTAGAAGGATCGCTGGAGGCCAGCAGATCAATGCTGGGGTGGCCATGAATGTGCCACTGCACTCTAGCCTGGGCGACAGAGTGAGACTCCAACTCAAAAAAAAATTAGAATTTTCTCATCACCCTGAGTTTAGTCACTTCTAGAGACTGCTGAGATCTCCTGGACAAACACCCTGGGACCTGGCTCAGAGCAGAGAGCCCCAAGCTTGAAGTCTAGTCAGGAAAAAGGAGCATCAGACTCAGAGTTGGAGACCTGGGTGTGGGCGTCAGCTCTGGTGTGGACTCGAGGTTGATCTTGAACTCATCGGCTTTCTCTGAGCCTCAGTTCTAATTTGTCAAGTGGGTTTGTTGAAGGGTTCCAGGGAGATGAGAGAGGAGTGGCATCTGGTAAATGTGCATCTCTGGGCTGGGCACGATGGCTCATGCCTGTAATTCCAACACTTTGAGAGGCTGAGGCAGGAGGGACAGGAGTTCAAGACCAGCCTGGGCAACATAGCAAGATCCTGTCTCCACAAAAAATAAAATAAAATAAAATAAGTGCATCTCTGGACACTGTTGTGAGGATGGTGGTTATCTCCTGGGGAAATTCACAGCCTTTCTTTCTCCAGGTCTGGGATGAGCAGCTGGCCAGGTCTGCCAAGGCCTGGGCCACCCAGTGCATTTGGGCTCATGGGCCCTCACAGCTGATGAGATATGTGGGCCAGAACCTCTCCATCCATTCTGGCCGGTGAGTCACCCTCTGCCCTTCCTTCACTCAGTCATTCAACAAACATGCATTGAGCACTTACACCATACCAGGTGCTGTGCTTGGCACTGAGATTACAGAGGTAAATAAGGCAGACAAGCTCACGACCCGCAGGGAGCCTCATCCTAGTTAGAAGGGACAGGCAGTAACAGGGTGAACAAACAAATACCCAGATTGCTTTGGAGAGTCGGGAGTGATTTGAGGGATCACGGGGCAGGTTAGGGGGCGAGAGTCATGGGGAGCAGGGTTGGGGTAGGGGATGATGGGCCAAGGGTGACCCCTAACATCTGAGAATGGCAAACTCAGCCCTCTGGCCTGACTTCCTTGCCACCATTCCAATTCTCGAGTCAGAATCTGGGGACCTTCTGCCCTGGGTAGCCATGGAAGTTATTGCCACTTTTTGAACCTTGGTGTCCCCATCCATAAACTAGAGATGCTGGCCTAGCTCAGTTTATTCCAGACTTGTGGCTTTCACAAGTCAGGAAAAGACATGTACGAGACTGCTATGCAATTGTCCTATTTGTATTTTGCCAAATAAGAACACTAGAACACCAAGGACTTGCCCCTCCCCACCGTGACCCCAGAACAGTCATGGGGGCAGCTCGAGGGAGACTCTGCATTCTTTCATGTTCTTGACAGAGCCCCACAGAGCAGACATCAGGGACCAGGCTTCCCTCAAGCTCACCAGTGCACCCTCTCCCTTGCCAAGAAACTCTCCCTGTTGGACTCCAACCTTCCCCCCGGGGCCACCACTTGAGAGGCCCATGTGAAGAGTTAGGGAATGCAAATCACTGCTATAAGCCATGATGTGAATGCTCCTGGAGTTCCCCTGTGGGCCCTTTTGGATGTTTGTGCCTGTGTCAAATGTGTATGATAGAAGAAGCCCACAGGTCCCGCCAGACAGCTTTTCAGACTGCAGAGACTTTCTCAAGTTGACACACCAAGTATCTGCTTTCTTCCCATCTTACAGCTCGGACCCCGAGAAGAGGGTCCAATGAATCTTTCCTTGCCTAAAAATGCAAGCTACTGGCCAGGCACGGTGGCTCACACCTGTAATCCCAGCACTTTGGGAGGCCGAGGTGAGAGGATCATTTGAGGCCAGAAGTTTGACAACAGCCTGGGGAACAAAGCAAGAACCCATCTCTACAAAAAGAGAGGGACAGAGGAATAGAGGGAGACAGGGAAGAAAGAGAGAGAGAGGGAGGAAGGAAGGAAGGAATGAAGGAAGGAAGATAGGAAGATTAATTAGCTGGACATGGTGGCACATGGCTGTAGTGCTAGCTACTTGGCAGGCTGAGGCAGGAGGATCACCTGAGCCCAGGAGTTCAAGGCTACAGTGAGCTGTGATGGTGCCACTGAATTCCAGCCTGGGTAACAGTAAATCCCTGTCTCAAAAAAAATTAAAAATTAGCCAGGCATGGTGGCACACATCTGTCATCCCAGTTAGTTGAGAGGCTAAGGAAGGAAGATTGCTTGAGCCCAGGAGTTGGAGGCTGCAGTGAGCTATGATCATGCCACTGAACTACATCCTGGGCAACAGAGTGAGACCATGTCCCCAGATTAAAAAAAAATTTCATGCAAGGTACTCTGTCTAAGATGCTCACCTTGTGCCTGGTCCTTTTCATGACAATAACAAGTATGCTTTATTGAGCACTTACTCTGTCTCAGGTACAGGGAAGCGCTTCACATGGATTTGAAACATCCATGTAGGCACATGCTGCTGTCCTCATGCTCATTTCGTAGATGAGGACACTGAGGAAAGAGAGGCACAGGGATTTCCCCCAAGACCACCGAGCAAGTTGGCAGCAGAGCCCTCTTCCATTCTCTCACCCAGCATCCTCCATGTTCTCTGTCTCCCCAGGTACCGCTCGGTGGTAGATCTGGTGAAGTCCTGGTCTGAGGAGAGACAGCATTACCTGTTTCCACCCCCAAGGGACTGTAATCCACACTGCCCATGGCGCTGCAGTGGCCCCGTCTGCTCCCATTACACCCAGGTACGCACAAATCCTGGTACCTTCAAGAAAAAAAAGATGGTAGAACAGACGTCAGAATTAAAGCAGAGGCCCTAGGTGTTCCAGGAAGCATATTACTGGAAAGTCATGTATACACTGAACCGTGAACCAAGGGGAACCTTGTTTTGTTTTTAGCGTCTTAGGTAGATCCTGTTTCCTTTCTTTCTTTCTTTCTTTTTTTTTTGGAATCAGAGTCTCACTCTGTCACCCAGGTTGGGTGTGGTAGCATGCGCCTGTAGTTCCAGCTACTTGGAAGACTGAGGCAGAAGGATCATCTGAGCCCACCAGCAGGTCAATGATGGGGTGGCCATGAGTATGCTACTGCCCTCCATCCTAGGTGACAGAATGAGGCTCCAACTCAAAAAAAAAAAAAAGGTAGACCTACTAGGAAATGTGACACCTAAACCAAATGTCCTTCCTGACTTCCATTATTACCTCCATTTTACCAATGAAGAAACTGAGGCACAGAGAGGTTAAGTGACTTGATCAAAATCACACAGCTGGAGATATTGAGATTCTGATCCAAGTCTGTTTGGCTTGAAAGTTTGTGTTTTAACTTCCAACACAACAATGATTTTCAAGGGTTGGTCACTAGGGGGAAAAAAAGAAAAAAATTAATAGAGCAGTATAGAAAATATATCACATATAAGGCTAAATATTGGTTCATTAAACTTTTGTTTCAATTGGTTAGGTGTATGTGTGTTTGTACACTGGTAACAATATACAATTTATTCCTTACTGTTGGTTATAGTAAGAAAAAAGTTGGCCGGGTGTGGTGGCTCATGCCTATAATCCCAGCACTTTGCGAGGCCGAGTTGAGAGGACTGCCTGAGCCCACGGCTTCAAGACCATCCTGGGGAACTTGGCAAGCCCAGCAAGTCGAGACTGCAGTGGCCATGAGCGTGCTACTGTACTCCAGCCTGGGTGACAGACTCCAACTCAAAAAAAAAGAAAGAGTTTGAGTATATTCCAATATAAATGTCTCTAGCCACCACCTTGGGACAGGCAGACTTCCTCTTCCAGGAAGACCTCACCTAATGCATCACCCCCGCCCCTCGGAGCCAAGCCCAAGTTCACTCAGCCTCAAGGATCCTGGGCCCACTGAGTCCTTCTCACAGCCTTTCCTGTCTTTGTCCTTCCTTAGATGGTGTGGGCATCCTCCAGTCGGCTAGGCTGTGCCATCCATACCTGTGGCAGCATCAAGGTCTGGGGCAGCACCTGGCATCAGGCAATATACCTGGTCTGCAACTACGCTATTAAGTAAGTGCTGGCATCAAGGCAGAGGAGGCTCTGGGCAGGAGGGTGGATCCTGATAATTCAAAGAAAGGAAACACACGTGCCATCCTCCTTCCTGCATTCTATGCACCTTCAATATCATACAATCTTGGTAGTTTTAGACAGTCAATTAATAATCCCTTTTTTCAAATTCTATTTTTCAGAGACAGGATCTTGCCCCGTCTCCCAGGCTGGAGTGCAGTGGTTCAATCATAGCTCACCGCAACCTCAAACTTTTGGTCTCAAGCGATCCTTCCGCTTCAGCCTCTCAAAGTTCTGGGATTATGGGTATAAGCCATGGCAAAATTTGACATTTTTGTAGAGAAGGGGTCTCGCTGTGTTGCCTAGGCTGGTCTTGAACTCCTGGCCTTAAGCGATCCTCTTGTCTCGACCTCCCAAAGTGTTGGGATAAACCACTGTGCCTGGCCAACAATCTTCTTTTCTACCCAAGTTTCAGAAGCCATGGGGAAACATAGAGAGGACCAAGGCAAGTGGAAAGGCAGTGTCACCGAAGTCAATAGTGGGGACGGCGGCTTCCATCTGCCGATCTGCCAGACAAGTGAGCTGGCAAACATCTGACAATTGAATTAGACTTGCACACCCAGTGACAGACACCAGTGGACAGCCCCAGGCCGCTTCTCACAAGCGCAAGGCTCTGAGGTTACCCTATGAAACAGACAAGCAAGAACACGAGCTTGCCGCAGGCAGCAGTTCCCAAAGGGAAGAAAGGAAGGATGGAACGCACGTGCGTGGCTCCTCCCACACTCTGTTTGCTTGGGGAGCGGTGGGGAGCCAGGCCCACACATCTCTAGGAGACCTAGAGAAATGGGAGTGAAAGTCCCCCTCCCAGCCGGTGCGGTGGCTCAAGCCTGTAATCCCAGCACTTTGGGAGGCCGAAGCGAGAGGATCGCCTTGAGCTCCGGGGTTTGAGAGCAGCCTGGGCAACACGTCCCTACAATAAATCCAAAAATAAGCCGGGTGTGGCGGCGCGTGCCTGGAATTCCAGCTCCTTGGAAGACTGAGGCGGAAAGGATCGCCTGAGCCCAGGACGTCCAGGCTGCAGCGGTCGTGAACATTCCACTGCACTCCAGTCTGGATGATGGAGTGACATTCCAACTCAAAAAAGAAATAAAGTCCCCATCCCTCGTGCAGCTTACAAACCTGCAAACATGACAGATTCTCACACAAAAACAAAAACAGGACATGATATTTAGAATTTCAAAGTTACATAATAGCTGCATTATACTCTCACATAGCCTTTGATCACTTACAAAATACTTTATTATCTCATTGAAGAGATGGAAGAAGGAAAGAAGAAAAAGGGGAAGGACACTGGGAAAATATTGCCCCTTTTTACAGATCAAGAAATTGAGACTCAGAGAAGTTGATTAATTTACCAAAGATCGCAAAACCAGTAAGTGGCAGACCTGCTTGAAATGCAAATCTTTTCCATTCCAAATTCTTCCCTGTTCTATTACATTATCCTGATGCTCTTGAAGTCATTGGTAACCTGAACACAAACTCTGAAGCTGGGATAGTTGTTGTTTGTTCAATGGTGGCATCTATTGACAAAGTGTCACTTTGCAGTCAAGCTTTATCAGACATGGAAAAATGCAAGGAACTAAATTCCATTGCAAGTTGCTTCAGGGACTGTTCCAATGTGTTTGTTGACATACTGAGTTTTTGAAGCATTGAGTCTAACCGGACAGTGGTTCACTTTAGGCCCTGGAGTCAGGACTGCCAGGGGTCAAGTTCGTGATTTTGCTTAACTTCTCCATGCCTGTTTCTCCATCTGCAACGTGGGAGTATAACAGTACCTACTCTCGGAATTGTTGAGGGAAGTGAGACAGCCCACATGGTGTCCCCAGGCTCATGACCAGTGGGGAATATGTGTTGGTTCTTACTGTTATTACCAGACCTACGTTTGGGTTTCCTCCCCCGTGTGCAGATTGAGGACTTTGAATATGTCGCTTTATTTCTTTTTCTTATTTTATTTTTTTTAGTTGGAGTCTCACTCTGTCACCCAGGCTGGAGGGTAGTGGCACACTCACGATCACTGCAGCCTCATCTTGCTGGACTCAGGTCATCTTTCTACCTCAGCCTTCCAAGTAGCTGGAACTACTGGCACATGCCACCAAGCCCAGCTGATTTTTCTTTAATTGTAGAGATGAAGTCTCACCAATTTGCCCAGGCTGGTCTCGCACCCATGAGCTCAGATACTTCTCTCGCCTCGGCCTCCCAAAGTGCTGGGATTACGGGCATGAGCCACCACGCCCAGCTTGTCGTTTTATTTCTACAGGCCTCAGTCTCCCCTTTTAGCGTCAATACTACCCAGCTCACAGAATTTAAGGAATAAAATATGAAAATGTGGCCTGTGTGGTGCCTTGCCTGTAGTACAAGCTAAATAAACAGTGACCATGATTATAACTGGGTTACAGACTCTCAAGCATGGGAGACAGAGTATATTCATTTCTTTAACCTTCCACTACAGTGATCTCTCACCGTTTGCTTTTTTTTAAGCAGAACTTTTTCCCAAGTGGTTAAATTAAGCAACAAAAAAAAGAGCTCCATGTGCTTCAGTGAGGTCTCCCAGGCATCTCTGCTACCCACTCTTCCTGTCTCCAAACTTCCAAGTGCACCTTTTGAAAACTGTGGACCAGCTGGGTGTCGTGGCTCATGCCTGAAACCCCAGCACTTTGGGGGACAGAGGTGAGAGGATTACCTGAGCCCAGGGGTTCAAGACCAGCCTGGGCAACTTGGCAAGACCTCGTCTCTTAAAACAAAAACAAAAAAACCGTGGACTGAAAGTATCTGGCACAGATCCTGAGGTTCTGGAAGTGCTTGTTGAATGAACGAGTGACTCCTGTTGGAAAACCAAAGCACATACTTTTCTGAGCACTTTGGCTGACATTGCGCACGTCATTCAACAATCACTTGTGGAGGAAAAAAGATCTAATTTCTGCAAGGAGTTTTTCATTTAAGGTGTGAGAAAATAAGGCATTGGGACTTAGAAAACGAATACCACAGGCCAGTGCCGAGATGATTAGGCAACCATGAGCCAGGGCAGGGGGAGCGACTTTGGGCTTTGAGAGAAGAGAGGAGAGAAAGAGAAATCCATGGTCCAGGCTGGGGAAGAGTGTGGGAAGAGGGGCATGTTGTTGTATCCATGTGCTAGGGCCACCCAATGGAAGCTGTCAATGTGATTCTCTGAGTCAGAAGCCCATGGCCTGATCTGTCTTGCAGCCTGTTTTGCTAAATAAAGTTTTATTGAAACGCGGCCACACCATTCCTTTGAATGCTATCTACAGCTGCTTTCCTATGATAGAGCAGTCTGGCCTGCAAAGTCTAAAATATTTACTTTCTGGCCCTTACCAAAAAAGTTTGCCAACCCCTGCATAGGCAGGGGAAGCCTCTACAGTTCTTGAGTGGGGGAATGATGGGATGAAAGTAGCTGTCTTTATTTTTTTAGTGAGAGTCTCACTCTGTTGTCCAGGCTGGAGTCTAGTGGCACAATCACAGCTCAGCACAGCCCCAATCTCAACCTTCTAGGCTCAGGCAACCCATGTGCCCCCCACAGCCAGCTAATTTTTTTATTTTTGTAGAGACGAGGTCCGGCTATGTTGCCCAGGTTGGTCTGAAACTTCTGGACTCAAGCAATCTTTTCAAGTGATCCTCCCACCTCAGCTTCCCAAAGTGCTGGGATTACAGGCATAAGACACCACACCCAACTAAACGGCTTTATTGAGATGTACAGCCGGCCTTCCACTTCTATAGGTTCAACATCTGTGAATTCAACCAAATGCAGATGGAAAACATTTGGGAAAAAAATGTCATGTGTCCTGAAATGTACAGACTTCTTTTTCCTTGTCATTATTCCCTAGACAACACAGTACTGCAACTATTTACACAGCATTTACATTGTATTCGGTATTATAAACAATCTAAAGATGATTTAAAGTGTGCAGGAGAGTGTGCATAGGTTATATGCAAATACTATTATGCCATTTTATATCAGGGACTTGAGCGTACATGGATTTTGTATCTGCAAGGGGTCCTGGAAGCAATCCCCTGTGCATACCAAGGGACAACTGAAATCAATCATACAACCCACCAATGGATTTTGGTATATTAGAGTATTAATTTTTGAAAACTAAAAGAGCCAGGAGCAGTGGCTCACACCTATAATCTCAGAACTTTGGGAGGCTGAGGTGAGGGGATTGCCTGAGCCAATGGGTTCGAGACCAGCCTACGCAATTTGGCAAAACCTCTTCTCTACAATAAAGCAAAAAATTAGCCAGACGTGGTGGCACATTCCTGTAGTTCCAGCTCCTTGGAAGACTGAAGCAGAAGGATCACCCGAGCCCAGCAGGTCGAGGCTGCGGTGACCGTGAACATGACACTACACTTCAGCCTGGGCCACAGAATGAGACTCCGATTCAAAAAAAGAAAAAAAAAAAACTGTGGTAAGATATATAAACAATAGCCGGGCTCGGTGGCTCAGCCTGTAATCCCACGCCTTTGGGAGGCTGAGGTGAGTGGATTGCCTGAGCCCCCGGGTTCGAGACCCGCCTGGGCAGG